CCTCTCCTCATGCCAACGGCGGGTTCGGTGCTATAACGGTTAGCGAATCACGCAATTGTACCAAAGTTTGCGGGTTCAAACCCGATTAAAGCTGTGTAATAGAATGTTTCGTCGCTCACGTAAGATGGTGAAAGGAGCGGAGCGATATTTGCGTGGTCGGACGGAAGAGCGGGCCTGGTGGCCACGTAAAATAATGCATTGACTAACTAAATTAACGTGGAAATGTTGACTGCGAGCGAGAGCGAGAGCGCGACGCGGCGAGGCGGGGCGGACCTGGCCGTCACCTGCTGGGCGGAGCAGTAGCGCTCCCAGAGCTGCGCGCGCCCGTCCTCGGTGACGGTGACGCTGCTGGACACGACGTAGGGCGTGCTGGCGCTGGTGGAGGTGGACACGGACGTCTCGGAGCACGAGGAGGCGGCGGCGAGGCGGCCGCGCAGGAAGGCCACGCGCTCGCACCACAGCCGCCACAGCACCTGCCACGCACGCCACGCAGGTCCGGCGACGTTTGCGCTCTCGCGTTGTCGTAGCGTACAGGAATTTATACAATGGCGGGGGAGAAAAATCGATGACGGGGAGAGAGGTCGTGGAAATCGAGTGTCGAGGAGATCGAGGCACGAAGCCTTCGCGCTGGCACACGCCGCGCCTCTAGCCTGCAGAAGGGTTAATATTTCTACCGTCTCGTAAACGTTTTGGTTATTTTGGGCTTCCGGCTGCGTCAACTACTAAGGCCATTAGTCCCGTAAGCGCAGTGCAAGTTATATCCCGAAGGGGGCAGTATTTCTTCCCCGCTAGCAAGCGAAATCCGGCGTGGATTTACACGTCGCCTTGCGAGGGTTTTCCTCCTTTATGTATCTTTTGTTACTTTTTCCCCCATCGTCCAAACCGAACAAGCTCTAAGTTCGCGATTGGTCTCCCGCCATGTGCATCTGTCTAGTTCATGATTAAGTACGTGTATATAAGGGAAGGGAAGAGAACAAGGATGAGAAAAGGAAGAGTATAAAGTCGTAGCCTGAATCAACGTCCAGAAAGAACTAGGAATTTGACCTTGTATCTCAAGAACAATCGGGATTATATGACGTACTTTTTTTTACTCCCAATCCTTTACCAACTTTTACGATATCTTCATATCTAGACTTTGAAATATTTCTCCTTCATTTTATTTACGGTGTATTTTACACTTATTATAGTAATACTTATTCACTGAACAATTGTATGTTCAAACGACATGATCATGAATTGCTTGGACAACTATGAAGAATGGCTTTCAATTTTTTTTTAAAGTCTAAGTATGGGCTAAACTCCTGGGCCAGGGATGCTCAATGAGCCGAATTCACGCCTCGTGCCTCGGATAATGGCCGTACAAGCGCAGGGCACTTCATTTTCTCACCCCCTCCTCCCCAGCCCATTTCCCCTCTGAGGGGAGGGGCGATCAGAGAAAAGAAGAGGCGTGAGGTAGTAGATCCACTAGGGGCTCCTGATTTCAAACGGCCCGCCCCCACCTACTTAAACAGAACTCATTTCTCCATTCAACAGAAATGACTTAAGCGTTCAGTTTGAATAAAGGGTACTGCTACGGCATTCGCTTTGTGTTGATCGGAGAAACCATGGAAAACTAACGATCAGACCAGCCGGCCGGTACAATTCTCCTCCAGGCAGCGGCTGAACTCGACCTAGCTAAGTAGGTAGTGTCACAAATCTTGCCACCGCCGGGACTCGAACCCTAGGACCTCCTACTCAGATGCACTGCAGTGACATCAGTTGTGGCCCTGAGCCACCTATGTCGGTTTGGGATTCGAGAAATGTTCATATTGTGTTCCTGAGAAGATAACGAAAATCCTGCAACAAGACCAGAAGAAAAGGAAGAAGAAACACTAGAAACATTAATCATCTCGTATATATTTATCCGGTAGTTAGTAATACGTAAACATAAAAGCGATTTTTCCCTGGAAGACAGAACTGTTTGAGGAATGTGATCTCTCAGTGACAATCAAGAATGAAAAAAAAAAGGCCGGGGCGTAAGAAAAATCGAAACTGAAATCAATATGGATGGCCTCGCCTCTCAGTGGCATAATACAAGTTAATTTCTGATCGGAAGAAAGAATCAGTAAAATGTTGGTGCAGCTTATCGGCGTAGGTGTGCACAGCCTAAAACAAGAGGGGGTGGGGGGCAAGTACATTTTTGGGCCCCCTCTCCCATTACACTAGTTTCTCACATGTGACATATTTTACTAGTAAATGAATAAAACATCTTACGGAGAATGGAATTATAACACTGATACAAATAATAAATTCAATTGGTTTTATGTTGAACTATTTGCAGTTTGTCAAATGACTTGTCCCTTAACCATTTCTCAATTTTTCAGGTTAAAAGAGGAGAAAATTAGGAATTGAACATATTACAGAAATAAAATAATTTATTACGGACTTCAGAGCTCCTTTCAAAATTTTACGGGTTTATGGCCCCGCCTTCTGCGCATGACTATGCATATCAACAGAGAAACATGACAAATCTTAAGTCATCTCGTCAGACAATCTTGGCAGCAAATATAAGAACCTACATTGTCAAAGGCCCTCTGTCTCGTGGGAGACTTCGCTTCGAGAACTAAGCAAAAATGTTTTGCTATCATTGAAAAGATTTTCTAAGAGCTTCATGTAAAGTGCTCCCCAAAAAAATTAAAAGATCCATTTCAAAATTCACAGGACTTAGAGATAAATCGGAGTATAGTATATGTTTTGATGAAAATCCTATAGATTATTTATGCCCTAATGTAATTCACAGACCGACTGTCGGACGGACCTTCTCTAGACTGATACCAACCAGTCATTGACTGACAACTATGTTAAGAAAAATTCTGACCGACAGTGTAACAAAACACGTCACAAAAACAATGTCAGTATCAGGGACTTCCGAAACTAGTATATCCGTCAAAATCTCGACATCGTGTTTTTCACGATTATGTAACGTATTCGTACTACTTAACCCAGTTGGTATACGAAAAAGTAAAAGTGTATCATTTCAAAATAAACTTTTTAGAACAGATTTAAGTTCACGCATGAGCCACAAATAGTGTTTCCTTTTTTAAAAAAAATACGTAATTAAGCGTACGTATGACTTGTCCGTGCGTTGCCTGCCGAGAACAGGAAGCTCGGATATTATTCAGAGCAAACTACAGGAAATTCTGCTAGAAACAAAACTACGACATTCATATTGTGCGTACGTGGGCTTGATATTACACACAGTATTCAATACCTATTTCAAGGCTAAAATTCTACTTTACCTTCGTAGTAAAAGTTTTGCTCAATCGGACAGAAGGAATTAGTTATAGGAAACGAAATTGTGATTAATACACGCAAAACACTTATTGATTTCTTCAGAATTATTTTCAGGTGATATCTTGCGTCACCTGATAACGATTGTGAAAATGCGTGTCTTATCTATGATAAGATATTTAAGAGTGAAGTCTCTCAGATTATTGATTACAAAAGGTTGTTTGACCTCACTACTTTCACATTAACACAGACCGCTTTTTTTTAAGAAAAAAATTTAATTCTGTTCCCCTTGTGTACATTTTACAGCTAGGATTCAGAAATTACTTTGTAAAGACTACAATGGTAAGTTTCTTCAAAGAGAAATAAGTTTGCCAACACTTTGGTGTACTAATTCTGAAGTGATCTCATGTCCCTCTTTCATGTTATTTATGATTTTGTTTAGGACCCATAACATACTTCATCAATCAATGAAAAGCAGACAGAAGTTTTAAGAATTTAAATATTTGGGGGAAATCAAGTAAAAAATGAGTATCCGGTAAAGATAGAAATCCAAGATTTCACATAATCAACAAGTCACCACAAAGTTTAAAACTACTATAGTGGAAAGAAATTTCCAGATATAGGTACTAAGAAAATAAGTTTTGTCAGTATCAATGTGATGCTTCAGCAATTAGAAACTGGGAACTGACAGAGAAAGAAATATATCAAGGGTCCTGCAAACTGATATTATGAGCAGAAATTGTGAAGTGGCTAAAATGGAAATTAAAAAATATGGATATTTTAAAAATAATACAGACAGAAAAATTAATAATAGATAAAACATAAACTTGTGGGTTAAAAATTGGTTTGGTCACTTCAAAGGTTTTGTTAGGAAAGATGTCCCAGAAAGTTTTGAGAGTGGTTTCCATTAAATAAAAGAAAGAGGTAGACCCACAGGAGAATGGCGGAAGTAAGTTTCTCAGGACACGCGAAGAAGAGGCTATGAAGAAAACTGAAACGATGAAACTGTATAGAGATAAGAATTCAAGAGATGGCATCAAGAGCTGTAAAAAAGAAACTCACAAGAACAACATTCAGGGCCTAGCTAGGTAACATTCACTTCACAAATTTTAATTATAAATGTTTCTTGCAAAAAAGATCAAAATGTTTCTAAAATTGTTCCTTAACTCGAAAACTAATCCACAATCTCATGATTCATCTGGTTTGTTTCTTAACAACCATGAAACTTTTATAAGTGCTTAAGAACCCACACAATTAAATTAATATAATCAAATTAACAGATACTTGTAAATAAAAAAGTCAGAGCAACATTTTTTGACATTTTTTTAAGCTTTTCATTTATTTGCAATTATTCAGTAATACTTAACATTACTTCAATAACTCTACTAAGTAGGTTTAATATTTTGAATTCCTGTTAATGCTTACCTTTCGATCCCATGCTCCACCCAATTCATAATACTTTATTTTTTTATTGCAGAAATGGGCTTTTAAGGTTGGCCGAGACCTTCGATAAATACTTAAGTTAACAAGCTCCACTGGATAAACAGAAACCAGTTCAAAGCATTCAATTTCTGGATCCACACCAGCCCATTGAAGAAACTTTACTTGTTCTGCTGGACGAATTACATCTGCAGCTACCACCAAGTTCTTATGAGTCAGCCCTAAAGAAAACCAGCTTTGAAAGAAGGCACCCAGATTGTAGAAACATTTTTTATAGGTCATTCAAATTTCTAAGAGAAGTGAAATAATAGATGTAGAGCTATATACAAAGAATATTCAACACACCAACCTAAGTGAACTTGACGAATTCCATTTCCTTCTTTAGTAATCTCTGCAAAAGGGCTTTCCACTAAAACCATGTCTTCAAAATCACTGTACTCTGAAAACAGTAATTTCTGAATTCGATTCGACATCATGCTTTTCAATCTCTATAAATGTTGCACTGTGAAATAACATTAACACAATCAACTATCTCCTTTCACAATAAATAAAAAGATAAAAAGTTATAAATTCTTGGTAAACTGTACAAAACTCTACAAATATGTTGTTTTAAACTGTCATGTGTTTTTTTTTCATGTAGGCATGGTGACAAAAAGACAACAGGTTGAATGAGAGAGGAAGAACTTACACAAGAGCAATCACTCATCACCATCAAAACTTAAAACAAAAGAGTAAAAAATCATATAGAAGTACATTAAATATGTTTTAATGAAGCAAATTTTACATATAATACAATAAAATACAAATAATATGAGTTTTAATCCTCCAATTAACATTAATCATCAGATATTGTACAATAGAAAAGATGCAATGAGGTCACTTCTATCAGTCTCAACTCTTCATTGCACATCTTCACAAATAATGTCTATTGTTTGAGACACAATGTACTTTCTTTATGTGTTTACAACTGTAGATCACATATTTTCAGAAGCTTCATAATGTCTCCACTGAAACAGGTACATTCATACTATCAGCCATTTGCTATGGCCACAGGTACACCTCCCTCCGATATTCCATATATCATAATTCTGGCGGATGAACCTCTTGGATTACTGTTGTTCTGTAAAAATAAAATAACAATAGTTAAAATTTGGCTTTCAGAACCTAAAACAAATGTATCATCTCAATGTTAGGGTTGTGCTGTGCTACTTCATTGAGTTTTAAGATTGCAATAACAGAGCTTTTTACACAAATATACACCATAAAAATATTCCTTCCATTAGGAAATGAAATAAAATGGCCACTTGCTGTGTAATGTTAAAACTTAAAAGTTCATGTATACATTTTGTTCATTTCTGTTGGCATTTTGGTCTTATCAAAGTAAGGATACATGCAACAATCCACAAAAGTATTCATTTCAATAAAAGTATTTTCAATGTGCTCCATATCAAGAATGTAGTGCCATCAAATATGTTATTACACCACCAACAATAATAAGAGAGTAAACACCAGATGTGCAGAGAAAATTGTATCTACAATGCCACCACCCAAATCACTCAAATTTACAATCTACTAAATACAACTGCAGACCAGATGATAAGCCTGGGCTGACAACACACCATG